GTTTTAATAATCCTAGGAATTTTTTGAAAATTGAAATTTTCTCTTCTTTAGGTAATATAATAAATTTAATTACAAGAGTAGTTTGGATTTGTATAGGAATAAGTGCTTTGGTTTGAATAATAGATTTGAGTTTAAGTTTATGAATACATTCAGGATGTGCTAAAAATTCTTTAATAATAAGAATAGATTTGTCGAGAAATGAATATGTATTATTTTCTAAGAAAGCACATAAGATGTTTTTATTTTGACAAATAATACAAATATGTGTGTGATAAGAATATGCTTGGATTTGAGGAGTTTGTTTTGAACTAGATAAAGTTTCTTGTTGAGTTGTAGAATAGTTTAAAGAGAATGGTAATGAAGAAATGGTAGTTGTTTTTGTAATTGGTGATTGAGGAATAATTTTTTTAAGTTGTTTAATTTGTTTGGATGTAATATTAATATCTATATATATGGATTTTTGAGAAGAAGAAGGAGGGGTTGCTTGTCTGAATGGAATGTTAAGATTGCTAGAAGTAAAGAGAATATGGAATTTTTGACAATAATAGCAGACAATGGTAAGTTGAGTAGGAGTTTTAAAATAATGAAGAGATTTAGCAGTATTGCATTCAGATGAATTAAATGCAAATAACATTACTTTAAGTTGTGTAGATTGCACTTCTCTAATCATTATACCATAACGATTATTATACTTGTTATGGAAATAGTTAAGATCAAAATAATTTGGCTTTTGGAAAGTCAAAATAGGTATTCTATTTGATAGAGAAAGAAAAATACTATAGGTATATTTAAGAATAAAAGTTAATATTACTTAATAAAATTTTTTGTTATTAGTTATTGAAATTTTAATATATAAGATTTATAATAGTGAGAATTAACTTAGCATGAGTATGATGTAATACTGTATCTACTGCAGCTGCTGCGGATTTGTGTAACCCTGAGAACAATTTTGTGTAATGTATGTAGTACAAGGTGTGGCTGGTGTGACAAGTGTGGCTTAATGTAACAATTTAGTTACATATCCCAAAAAAGTCTTGTAATAGTATACAAAGTCAGAAGAAAAACCAATAAAAAATTGTGTACTATTTTAGTTAATATTAGTTGGTTTACTATGAAAATGATTGTAGTAATGATTTAATGTTACACAAAAATCGAATAAGAAAAAAAAAATTGTGGATAAATGAAAAAGAATTTTTTAAGAAGTTTGTAAGAGAGTTAAAACTATTTTTTAGTGTATCTCTGTTAATATTAGGCTTATTAAGTTCATTTAGACCTTGTTTTGATCAGAGAAATGAGCTCTATAACTTTTCTTAGGACTATAGAGTAGGTTATAAAGCTAGTTGTGAGAAATAATTAAATAAAGAGTTTAGAAATCCAAAGCCTATTATTGCAGTATTACTGTAAACTGTGAGTTTGAGAGTTATCTTTTTAAAACTTTCAAAATATATATAAAATTAGTAGCTGAACAAGTTTACTTAAGACACCAAAGTTAGTTATTTTAATAAAATAACCAGATATTGACGATTTTAGTACTGATGAATTTTTACTTATTTTTGTATAAAAATAATTTACAGAAAGAGTTTTTAGTAAAAAAAATTTAAAGATTTTATTTAAAAATTTTTATTATAAAAAATTTCTTTAAACTTTTTAAGATTTTATATATTTTTGAAACTAAAAAAAAATTTCATTTTTAATACAAATCTAAATTTTTATAAGTAAATTAAAAAAATTATATTAATAAAAGTTGTTTTTTTTTTTTTTAAATATTAATGATGAGGCTATGTCTTTAACTTTATTGAAATTTAATTAAAATTTTTATAAAGAAAAGCTTGCTTTTAAATTATATATGAAGAATAAAGACTCAGACATATAATCTGCAACCTAAATCTACAAGAATGGCTAAGGCTCACTTAGATTTAGGTATTAGTAATAATATATAAGAGAGAGATATGATATTTAATCTATTAGATAGTCCAAAGATTAATTCTAGTAATAATTTGTGGTATTGAGATAGGAGGTAATAATAAACTAGAAGGAGAATTATGAGTTGAGTTTGTAAAAGGTGTAGTTGAAGATTGTGTTGATCATGAAATACAATATGGGATCCATATTTGTTTGTATATTTGTTGGTTTAAATGAAGAAGAAATTTAATAAAGAGTAAGGTAGCTATATAATTAATAATAAAATTTGTTATCTTTTATATAAGTTAAAATATTGTATTAAAAATTATAAGTTTAAAATTAATATTTAAAGAGTTTACCAAAAATTAGTCAATAATTTTTTTGATTAAAATTTTTTTTTAAAATTGTTTATTTGGTACAAAGATTATATATAAAAAAAAAAACTCTTTCCTGTTCACCTCTGATCGGGAAAGGAAAATAAAAACAACAATCATAAAGTCACTA